TTAAAATTTTTACAAAATCTGTCGAAAACGCAAAAATTTACAAGTAATTTTGAAGTTGAAAAATCATAACATTTTTTGTGTTTATAACTAAGGATTAAGAATACAGCACTAAGTTTTCCGTAAGTTTTYCTTCAAGTAGCTATAGAGAAAACTCGAAGCATCATTATAGAAAAAATTTTAAGCGCGTTTAAATTTTAAATTTTTACGAAATAGCGTAACGATAACGATTTATCCTCAAACGAGTCAAACAAATCATTTTAGTTCAGAATCGATTTTCGTATACAATGATCCTATCATTGCATTCAAATTTAATYCCATCCATTACAGTAACCTACTGTACAGCAGAGCGACATCCACGACTTACCCATTTTTTTTTCTGAAATCACAAATAAATGTTAATTGTTTTTGGGATTTCATTAATACCTAGATAGTTAAACAAAAACTCCTGTGTAAAATAACTTTTTTTTTACTTCGTATATAATATGTTAATGATTTTTTTAATTGTTAGTTAAAATATATTTTACCTAATACATATTTTATTTCCCCGTTTTACCATTCACCATGGAAACCAAGTATTGATTCAATACAAAACATCTTTTTTTCTATTGGTGTACTATATAAATAATTATAATAAATAGTATWTACATTCAATATGATGGGTATAACGTCTTAAATCTTAATTCTCAACAAACAACTACAGTCTAGAGTAATTATTACGTATTTCTAATGTATACCGATTTATCGTTTTAGTATTGTCAATATTTGAACTCATAAATACGTTTATACTTCAGAATTTAACTAGTATAAATATATTTATATACTAAATATTGTATAGTATTATATACAGGGTGTCCCACGAGGATTTACCCATTGCAATATCTCACGAAATAATGGAGATATTAAAATTCTGGTTTTGTAATAAAACTCACAGAGATAAGAACTACAATTTACTTCAATTATTTAACATATAAATACGGTTAATAATCAATTACCTATTAATTAATAGTGGTATTTTAATTATGTCTCGTTAATCTTGCAACCGCAGAAATCACGGTAGGTACTTGGTATGCTACACCTTGGCATGTACGTAGATAGTAATTTTCCTTGATCCTAACTGTAGTACAAGTAGATATAATATACGATACACTATTGTACAATAATAGGTATGTCGTATATATAAGTATTAAGTACATCCAGGATAGCCGACATGTATACGGTTTTGTTACATCCCCCCTCACAAAAAAGAATGAATATGTTTATTATAAAATAATTTTTCCTTTTTAGAAAAAAATACATTACATAATAATAATACGAGTATCATTGGTGAAACAGAAGACGACGTTAATTTTATTGATGACAAAAAAAAAATTAACGAATTAGTCGTTAATATTCATCTCAGACTATACATTAGTGTTTTTTCTCATATAAAAATAATTGTTGTCCTTATAAAACATAACGTAAATTAAAAATATAAAAATTTATTTTATTTTATGTTGCATCTTTTTACATGAATGCARTTTAACGCAAATGGTCAAAACAAACAAAATTTATGAACGATT